TCTTAGTTCTAGGTTGCTTCTCTCCTTGATCAGTTTCCATCCGTTGCTTCTCGTCCTGCCTTCAGGTGCTTTGAAAAATAGCTTGACTCCCTCTTCTTTGTGGCAGCCCCTGAGATATTGGAACACTGCTATCATGTCCCCCCTTGTCCTTCTCTTCATTAAACTAGACATACCCAATTCCAGCAGCCTTTCCTTATATGTTTTAGCCTCCAGTCCCCTAATCATCTTTGTTGCTCTTCTCTGTACTCTTTCTAGAGTCTCAGCATCTTTTTTACATCATGGTGACCAAAACTGGATGCAGTATTCCAAGTGTGGCCTTACTAAGGCATTGTAAAGTGGTATTATTTGTATAGTAATGCTTTTAATAAAACTCATAATTCCCAATGTTACATTTTCAATGTTGTAATAAATTCCAAATTCTGAAGATGTAGCCAACAAACTACTAACCATCCGGCTGACTTCAATACAGAATATGGCAATGATAGGACAAGTCTGGTTGACACTAAATGTGGCTATCCAACCCTGGGAATATATTTGGTTTGACTGTCTTCTTCCCAAATTGATGCAAATAATCTTAAAGTAGTCCTATTTCCCAGGTCTTTAGAAGGGACACTCCATACACACCTGCTAGTACCCTAACTTTTCCCTTCTGCTCTATGTGAAGTCTATGGAGAACAGAGACAAGAGAGCCTAGTGGGCTGTGGATAGTCTGTATTTGCATTTCAATTGGTCCTAGGAGGCTATGAACTGGGGGTTTTAACAATTGTAGTACTTGATCCAGAGCTGGTGCCAGAAAGTTTGTGAAGAATATCATTCCTGGTTTTTATTTTATCCATGGTTTTTCTTAAGTGTTCCTAATAGGTTAAGGACCAAGCAAGGGCCACTCCTAAATACTTTGGATTACAGTTTATCACTCCTACTGTGTGTTTTTTAAATAATTTACTGATCTGGCATTTTAGATTTTGATACACATTTTATATGTTATTTCTGTAAATTTTATGCACTATGCTGAATTTTATGCACTATGCTCCATATGAAATAAAATAAACTGGGGGTTCTTGTCCTACAAATAGCTATGATGATTGAAACACAGACACGTCCTTTTTGCATGTGTTTTTCAAAGCACTTGCAACATTCAAATAAAATCTCTTCATCCTAGAAAAACCTTTTACCAACTGTCTTTTGAAAGCACTGGCTTCTTTCCACCAGATAATTCACAATGAATAGTGCCTGTGTAGGTCCAATTTTTGTCCTAAATTACTGCAAAGAATTATGATTAAAATAAGCTGTTTTTCTTCCCACTCTTCAAGCTATTTTCCTAAGTTTAAGTTATTTTGCCAAATGTCAACCTCCCATTTTATGTACAATATCACTAGGCTGTATCTGGTGTCAGGATTATTTCCTCCATGCCTGCTTTCCTCAGAAGCTGTTTCTTCTCAACTTATTCCCAGTATTTCTCTTTTGTTTTCCCCATCTTTTGTTTTCTTTTCTGGAGAAAGTCAAAGTAACGCTGAAAGTTACATTTGTTTTAACTCTCAAATATTCTCTGTTTCAAATAGGGTATAAAGTGACATGAGAGCAGTGTTCCAATATCTCAGGAGTTGCCACAAAGAAGAGGGAGTCAAGCTAGTCTCCAAAGCACCTGAAGGCAGGACAAGAAGCAACGGGTGGAAACTGATCAAGGAGAGAAGCAACCTCGAACTAAGGAGAAACTTCCTGATAGTTAGAACAATTAACCAGTGGAACAATCTGCCTCCAGAAGTTGTGAATGCTCCAACACTGGAAGGTTTTAAGAAGAGACTGAACAGCCATTTGTTTGAAATGGTATAGGGTTTCCTGCCTGAGCAGTGGGTTAGACTAGATGGCCTCCAAGATCCCTTCCAACATTATTATTACTATTATTATTATTATTATTATTATTATTATTATTATTATTATTATTATTATTATTATTATCATCATCATCATCATCATCATCATCATCATCATCATCATCACCATCACCACCACGGATTTCTGCTTCCTAGTTGTTTAATAAAAGAGGCCATCAAATGGCACCCTCTTGGTCTAAATGGAAAAAAAAAAACCTGGGGAGAACTGAAATGAAAAAGGCTTGGAACAATTAGGAATTTTTGGGGGGGTGGAGGGGAGCAAAGAGTTGAGACCTTCATTCAGTTGTGGCACTAACAACACATTCATGGTCCAGAATTTGCAGGTCAAGATGTTTGTCTTTTGAATCAGTTCTCCAATCATGAGATTCCGGTAAAAAATCAAGTATACCCCACAAGGCTGAATTTTGCTCACCCTCTTTCTGTTGTTATATCTATTCTTGGTACTGACCATCATAAGGCTATACTCTCATTCAAAATTCCATTGACAATTCTGACAGCATGAATGAGCCACAGGTAGAAATAGCCATTCACAACTGTACTGATATGAATGGAGTTGCAAGCGAGGCTCACAGCCAAGAGTTTCTCCAATGCAGAACTGAATGAAAGTTGAAGTGCTGGGCGTACTCGCTTAGCAGATAGCAGTAAGAATAACAGTAATAATTACAATTATACTAATACACAGATGCCTTTGGGTAGAAGAGATTACTTTTTAATCTTCAATATATATTATGCAAATACTTAAAAGAGCTGTTACTATTAATAAGACATTTCCACATAATGTACCACTGGATGGTAAAGTTCAAAAGATTCCTTCCTGATTACTGAGTTTCTACAAGGACTGGATGGAGAAATATACTTTCTAAGGCTCCATTGTGAAGCAGGTGAATAGCACAATCCCATATGGAATGTAGTCATAGACTTAATAGACATTAACCCCAAGTAGATGGGAAGCCTCATTGCAGCCTTAATTTGAAAACTGCGTAAAAGGCCACTAATATATATGTTTATGAGCATAGTACAAAATTCATTTTAAGTCTTGTTGCAACCCAGTAACATGACCATCCACCTGAGATATATCTGTAAGAAAGCACAGGTGTTTCTCACATCAACAGCTCCTGTAAATGAAAATAAGGAGGCAATTTTCTATGCATCATTAATGACTAAAAAAGAGAAATGGTGTTTCTAATTCCCAGGATTGTGCTGCTGGGATCTTTGATCATGTGTGTGCATGTATGTGCCAGTGTTGACTCCTGGTGACTGCCTGGACGCATACTTGCAAATATCTAACTTGCATCAAGAAGCAACTAGACAAAATGGTACTCACCTAGGATGTTTCCTATGAGAGCCACAAGAAATACAATAATATAGCCAACAATGAGCACCCATTCATATTCCTTGGGATGCAGATATTCCTTCCAGAGATAGTGCAGAAATTCTTCCTCATCGTAGTCTGTGAGAGGGTTTGCAAAAGGTTCCCGAGTCCCATTCACTGTCACATTAGAAGACCAGTTTGTGCAAGAAAGAAAGCCATCTTCCACTTGAGTCACAGACATAATTGGGTCTGCTCTGGGTCTGAATTCGGTCCTTCAGGGGTTTAGCCTAGCTTCCTGCCAATCAGACATAACTGCATTGAGCAATAGGGAAAAAAAAAAAAAGCAGGCAGAAAAGGGAAGATGGAAAAAAAGAGCCAGGTGTGTCAATGGAACTTCCTCAACTAGCTTTGCATCAAGCATCTCCCAGTGGCAGGATGCTTACTGAAGCTCCAGAAGCACGGAGGCCGTCGTAACAGAGCAGCAGGCATGAGAGAAGCAATTCCTGCATAGAGCTTCTTAATTCAGCCAGAGGGTGTGCGAAGCACATTCTTGCAGTGACAGGCAAAATGAAAAATGCAGCATGTTCCGAGGGACTCTAGAGATCATGAAATGAGAAGAGAGAGAGTGTGTGTATGTGCCTGTGCACACTTTCAACTGAGTCTGATTGTAAATCCACCAAGGACTTTTGAAGGTGCCCTTCATAAATGTTTGTACAATCCATTCCCTTTAGTGATACAGGGCTGCTTTGGACTGGATGAATGAATCAGAGATCTTTTTTTATCTCTTGTAAGCAGTGCTTTTTTTGTAGGAAAAAAGCTGCCGGAACTCATGTCTATTAATCTTTTATTAAAAAACTTTTATATTCAGTTCTTAGCAGGACCAGTGGTTGAGAAATAATTAGTTTTTTTTTTTTAAATTTGGGGTCACACTTTTACACTAAAAATTTTAAAAATATTTTCAATTCCCCAACGATTTTTTAAAATAAGAAATTCTTTACCTTTCGTACGTAGTCAATTACTGTACACACACCCACACATGTCAGTTGTGTTAATGAAACATAACAGTCACCACAGGCAGTAAGCACTCAGCGCGTGACCACACGGCCAATCACAAGCCGAGCAGCGCCATCACAACCAGCGCGGATAAAGTATGCATGCATTGGACTCAACGCACAATCAGCCCGCATGCACCATTTTAATGATTTTGCCATCGACCTGCTACGCTCAACAGGGAGATTCAAGCCCAGATGTACCAAACATCAAATTTTCAAAAGTTACTTTTAAAAATTGGAAAAAAATCCATCCAAAAAAGTGCTGGAACTCCGTCCGGGTGCATTCTATGACAAAAAAAAGCACTACTTGTAAGGTAGCATTTTTATTTACAAGGAGTGAAGGCTCTCCTCTCCTTTCAAGCATTTGATTCTGTGTGACTTTGGAAAATTATAGCATATCACATCGAACAAGAATAAAAGAATAGTGGATGGTTGTTTCCTAATGGCTAGTAAACTGTACAGAAAATTGCTTGGGTATTGATAAGAATGTGACCCTTGCTTAAGTTCATGGAGTGGAAGCAAGCATTCTGTTCAGAATTCTTGTAAGAATATTCTGTACTTCCACAGAGGAAAGAAGGAAGGAAGGAAGGAAGGAAGGAAGGAAGGAAGGAAGGAAGGAAGGAAGGAAGGAAGGAAGGAAGGAAGGAAGGAAGGAAGGAAGGAAGGAAGGAAGGGACAATCCCATTTACCACTAGCATAAAGTTAAAGGTAAACTTTTCCCAGTTCCAGTCCTATCTAACTATAGGGAGTGGTGCTCATCTCTATGTATTAGCCAAGGCAGCCAGCATTGTCTGAAGACACTTCGGTGGTCATGTGGCTGGCATGAATATATGCTAAAGAGCATGGAACACTATTACCTTCCCACATAGAGTTAGTCATTTATGATCCCTTTCTATCTAATGCTTTAATAAAGGAACTGAATTGGAGACTGGAATTTATTTATTTCTTTGCATAGTTCAGACAGGGAGTAGTCTTATCCACGTGTTAGATTGCTGGGTGTTCATGCTTACCCCTCTTAAGCAAGTCACAGGAAAGTTCATGAAAGTGTAACATGGATACAAATCAAACATCGGGATTCCCATGTGTTCATATTAAGAAATGCACTTCACACAGGTGGTAGTTATCTACGTCGAAAAATAAGCAGGGTGAATGACATTCTGTGCAAGGATGCAAAAACAGGGACCTTTTATCATTTATGGTGGGCATGTGGCAGAGCAAAGAAACATTGGAGTAGGATTCACATCTTAATACAGAAGATTCTTAAAGTGAATATAAAGATAAAACCAAAGACTTTTCTTTTGGGTTTAATGGAAAAAGATTTGGACAAAATTTGGGACTTTGTTATATAGATTGGTGGCAGCAAGATTACTTTATGCAAAAAAATGGAAGGACACTTTGATTCCTACAATGGATGAATGGCTGCAAAAGTTGATGAAGTTAGCAGAGATGGCCAAATTGACTGCTCTGATAAAAAAAAAAAAGAACACAATTAGCTTTGTTTCTACTTGGAAACCACTTCTGGACTTTGTGCTTGAGGTGGGAAATAGGTAATAGGAAAGATGAGAAGGATAATAGCAATACAGTCCTACTATATGGGTAAATATCCTTAGGCATAAGGATATTTCCTAATTTCTCTCTTCAATTTTCCACGGACATTTTTAGACCTTAGATCATTTTAGACCAGCGGTTCTCAACCTATGGGTCGCGACCCCATTTGGGGTCGATCGACCATTTCACGGGGGTCGCCAAGCAAGGCTGTCCGCCATTTTTTTTCCCTTTTCCGGCGGGTGCCTTACCTCCCTTGGGCTGGGCCAGCTGGTGGTCGGCCTGCTCCATCTCTGCCGCTTGCCAGCTACGCCTCGGCCGGCGCAGGGGGTGGAACCATGCATGCGCAGCGCTCCCGGGCAGGGAAAGTCCTCAACTTACGACCGGTCGGGTAGTTCTTGACTTACGACCGGTTTAGTCCTCGACTTACGACCGGTTTAGTCCTCGACGTACGACCGGTTGGGGGTCGCGGCATTAAAAATGTTGAGAACCACTGTTTTAGACTTTCTTATTGCCCAAGTCTTTTAATTCCACATTTAAAATGGAGCAGGTCCTGAGAATGGTATTCTGATTATTAAAGTTACTAGCTCATTTCTGTTCTGGGAATCTGTAGTGCTTAAATAGAACTAACTACCTACCAGAATGTGCCCTTTCTGGTCAATAGGTGAGCAAGAGGTGAGCAAAGAAACCTTAGCAATCGGTATCCAACTCTCAGCCAATAATTGGATTAAAGAAAAACCCAGTTGCTACTGCACTGCTTTGTCTCTTTAGTTCGAAAACTTAGGGAAAGAATAAGACTAAGTCATGACCTGGTGAGATCACATGATCCCAGCTGTCATCTCAACTGAACTGTGTGGGTGAAGGAGGCTGGGTGATGTGCCAGAAATCTGATTTTCCATTTGGAACTGCCACAAGTGTCTGTCCTGCATCTCCTCAGCTTAGTCAGCTAAATTCCAGCTGTCAGGCTTCTCAACATAGGTGAATGTTTTAGGTGCCAGGAGGACAGTGATGCGTCATATCTTGTCTTGAGCTTGCTGGTTGGTAATGATATCTCATTATGTTAGAGACAGTAGTCATGGGGAGAATTGCCACATTTTCCATAGGAGATTAGGTACTCCATTGCGAAAGAGGAACAAGCAGCTCAACAGAACTTGTGTGTATTTTAAAATAAAGCTAATCTATTGTAAATAAAGCTAATCTATGAGGTTTGGCCTATGGGTTGCTGCCTTATATGGGTTTGCCTGGCTCAGTAATGTCAATGGCGATTGGAGTAGAGGCAGGAGACTTTATTAATTCTACCTCAAAATGGTTGAGGATCAAGTCTGGGTCCTGTGGCATGGAAGCAGATATTCTGCTGCTGCGGTATAGCCTTCAACCTTTGGACAATAAGTACCTACGGTGAGTATGTCTCCAATGCTGTGATGGATTGCATAAGAGGATACAGGGTTTTTTGTCCTTTCTCATTAAAAATTACGACTATGCTAGACTTTAGAATCAATTCAAAGGCAAAAAAGGGCTTCAGAGCCTGCATCTCTCCACAACTTGGTAAACCAAACACGTCTTTTTGGGGGATAGTGCTGCAGCTGAGGACAGCTACCCAAACCTGGGAAAAGACACAGCTAGTTTTTGGACAGGTGTTATAGAACCTCTGTATATTGCAAAACTGGTTTTTTTGCATTGGAATCTTGGCTCCATGCCACCCTATAATAAATGTAATGTGTGGTTCATAACAAACTGATATCAACCTCAGATAGGCAGATTCCTAAATTCAAAATGAATTCCTACTATCTGTCTTCTGGCGTGCCTTCAGTTAATTCTATTAATGGAAATGGAATACAGTGGTACCTCGGTACTCATTGTTAATTGGTTCCAGGAGGCATGATAAATACCAAAAATGATGAGTACCAAACCAAGTTTTCCCATAAGAAATAATGCAGTGAGTCACAAGGCAGCTAACATCAACAAGTTCTAGCCTGTGCATTGAGTACCAAAGGAATGATGACAACATTTCTGTGACAAAATGCACTGAGAACCAAATTCGATAAGTTACAAAGCAGTTGAGTACCAAGGTACAACTGTATTGTATTTGGCCAAGTGTGATTAGACACACAAGGAATTTGTCTCTGATGCAGAAGCTAATTAATTAGTAGAATTATGAATATCTATTAATTAATTCAATTAATTGAGAGTCAGTTTGGTGTCATGATTAACTAGAAAGTAGAAGACCATGAATTCTACTCTTCCTGAAGGCTTGGGAACCAGCTGGGTGACTTTGGACAAATTCCAGCCCACCCTTGCTGTTGTCATGGAAAAAGCAACAGGAGGAAGCCTTATGTATATAACCTTGAGTTGCACAAAATAAAGGTGGGATATAAATCTAGTATTTATTATTATTTTTTAGCCACTGTACCTGAGACAGGTATTTAATCCAATGGTGCAAGGGATTCACTTGAGAGCCTCTGGTATATTGGCTAAAGAACTGGACTAGGAGTAGGGAGATCCAGCTTCTACGCACCAAAACCAGCTAGATGACCTGGGGCCAACTCCCCTCCCTCTTAGCCTTTTTCAAGCCCAGCTTTGATCTGTGGCAAGCAGGTTGAAAAACAAAGGCCCTTATCGCGCGTCATGCTTTGCTGTGAGACCTAGGCAAGCACAGAGCAGATTAAGTGCTGAGCAAAAGAAGTAGGACAAAGGCTAAGAAGAGGAAAAACAACAACATG